GAACCTGCATCCTATACGGAACAGTCATTTACGCTGACGTGCATTAACGTTCGGCTACAAAGAACGAATATTTTCAAAGAACGAATATTTTCTATCGAAAATTTTCGGACATTCAGGCCGGTAAATGTTATTTAATACTTTTATCATAAAATGAGCATTTACTTAAATAATTGTATCTATAAAAACAACGTTAAAACATAAAAAAATTCTTTAATAAATAAAATTTTTATACCTTTATCCATTTATATATATATATATATATATATATATATATATATTTATATATATATCATTCGCTATGACTGATCAGACGATGTGCGTACATGAATGCCATCATTCGCTTTGAAATGGACACTCCGGCCCTGCCTCAGCTAGACCTCTTTCTGAAGTTGACTGATATGTGGATACAAATTAACTCTGAAGCCCTTATCAAAATGGTCACCCCAGCCTTTTCCATAGTAATTAATTTTACGAATGAACATGCTTATAAAGATGCGTAAATTTCAAGATTGGTTATTCCTAAATTTTCGTCGAGGATGAAACAGGGCTTGATACTTAAATTCAATTTAATTTTAATAATTATATTGAACGAATTCGGCTCTTTTTTTTTGAAACTTGAGAACACTTATGTAGTAAGGAATCATATTTTTTAAATGATTATATATATATATATATATATATATATATATATATATATATATATATATATATATATGTACACTATGAAGTTCAAAATTCGTTTAATTCTTGGGTCCATATCGACCCCAGAATTAGATTGTATAAATTTGACAATATTACAAAACCTTTCCATCCAACAAATAAAAAAGAGAGCTTAGTCAATGAAAAAAGAATGGAATCAATTATCAAACTTATACTTTGAGAAACTTTTGCAAATATTTTGGGCTGCAGTCATCAAGGCTGAAGAAGAACAGTTTGAGGAGAGCAAAATTTAATCACAAACGATTTTTTTTCTTTATGTCATAATAAAATTTCTAATAAAAATTATGTCACATATTTTTTAAACATATATAATACGTTTCTTATACTTAAATTATATTATGGACAAATTTAAAAAATTACCAGGGTAACTTATTTGTATATATATATATATATATATATATATATATATATATATATATATATATATATATATATATTATATTTTATCATATAGACAAAACCATTTTACTCACTTACTGGGTATATCTAATAAAATGGTTATATGGTATGACCATTTTCGATTCTCACCCGTCAAGTGCAGTTGAAATGCACTGAAACCAAATTGCATCTTTTGTAGCGAGTAAAATTGTTTAGTCTATATGATAAAATTATAATAAATCGCTCTACTATCGGTATCGAGCCCTCATTAATTTGCTGTGAACGTTGGAATTTATATATTACTTTTTCTTATCTTGTATATATATATATATATATATATATATATATATATATATATATATATATATATATATATATATATATTCAATATATATATACTATATATATATATATAGTGATTTTATATAAGATTTTACAAGCGTACGTGAGTGAATCATGGAAGATTGAAGTTTAAAGGCAGTAAATTCGACCTCGCTAACCAAACGCTCCTCTGTGGCCAAATCGGTAAAAGCACGACAAGCTAAATGGTCGGTTCCGTATAGGATACAGGTTCGAATCCTGTCGAAGAACGAATATTTTCTATGAAAATTTCTCGGACATTCATGACGGTAAATGTTGTTTAATATTGTTTATTATAAGCAGAGCATTTACTTAAATATTTGTATCTGTAAAAAAAAATTATTAAATATAAAAATGTCTTTAATATATATGTATGTATATATATATATGTATGTATCTGTGATCTGTGAATGAGATAGACAGAAGGAGATAGAGAAATAGAGAGGGAAAAAATGAGAAAGAGAAATATATAGAGGGGGGTCTGTGAGTTTGTGTGTGTGGATGTTTTTGAGTCTGTGTGTGTGTAATGTATAAGATATTATTTTATTCTTGCAGATGTTAAGCTTTCTTATTAAGTGAAATTTTATGGGAGAACAGTTTCTAACTTGATAGTCGTATAAGGAAAATCAATGAAGATAACGCAGACGTGTGTATGTGTGCGCGCACCCGCGTCTAAATGGTCGCATGGATGAATATATGCGTGCCGTGATTAGAATTCGCGAGTCAACATATTCCCTCAACAAATGTCACAATAAAATACACATACACACACACACACACACACACACACACATATATATATATATATATTGTTGGTGGGTGTCAATAAATTCCATATGATAATGATAAAAAAAATGCCTTTCAGACAATTTGTACGACCACATCACCGTTGCATCTGGCCACATAACTCCCTAGACTGCAATCCTCTTGATTATTATGTGTGGGGCGAAGTTGAGCGGGAGATCAACAAAACTCCTTGTAACACCAAAGATGGTCTGAAGACCAGGATTATGGCAGTATTCACCAAATTAAACAAGGAGACTGCCCAGAAGAGTTGCAGGAGATTCCGAAGTCGTCTAGAGGGCGTGGTTGAAGCCAATGACGATTTTATTGAATAAATTTACTCTTTTAGTATTTTGAGATATTTTTGTCTAAAATTTTGGTAAATATATCTGTTAAAATGAGATGTCAGTGATATTTTTTTTATTTTTTTAATTTAGGCAACAATTTATCCCTCGCACCTTGTATATATATATATATATATATATATATATATATATTTATAAATATATATATTTTCTAAATATATATATATATATATATATATATATTTGTATGTATATATATATATATATATATATATATATATATATATATATATGTATTGATAAATACATACATATTTATATATTTCATAAATATATATATATATATATATATATATACATGTATTTGGTAAATATATATATATACATGTAATTGATAAATATACATAACTATACATATATTTGATAAATATATATATATATATATATATATATATATATATATATATATATATATATATATAAAATATATATATATATATAAACTCAGTGGGTGAAAAACAAATTGGCATCCGAGGAAAAACCTGGAAAAAAATAGATAAACCAGAAACCTCTGAACAGGGAGAAAGAAATCGTTCAGTAACTTAAATTTCGGCTACAAAAAAAATAAACAAAAAAAAAACTCAGCGAATAATAAATTAAAACGAAGAGTGCTCAATACGCTAAGTAGAGCAAAAGTAAAATAAATAAATCCTAATGCGTCAGGTACTATTACTCTAGATGTCATCATATGGGATCATCAGAGTGAACTGATGATCCCATGTGGAAAGAGAGAGAGATGAAGAGACTGCGCGAAATAAGGGACATTGAGATAGATAGATAGATAGATAGATAGATAGATAGATAGATAGATAGATAGATAATGAACATGCGGTGATAGATAGATAGATAGATAGGTAGATAGATATGAACAGGCAGTGATAGATAGATAGATAGATAGATAGATAGATAGATAGATAGATAGGATCCAATGTGGGGAAATTTAGGTAAGTAGTATCTGGCTCATTACGATTTAATTATTTTATATATATTTATTTATGAATATCACCAGTTAGATAAATGTTACTCTTGCATAAACTGATGAGGATCTCATTGAAATCAATTTTATCTCTTTCTATGTAATATCAGTTAATCCTAACGAAACGTATTTATTAAACACCAGACACAATGTGTGTGTGTGTATATGCATACATATGTTTATATTACAATTAATTAAAATCTAATATATATATATATATATATATGTGTGTGTGTGTGTGTGTGTGTGTGTGTGTGTGTGTGTGTGTGTGTGTGTGTGTGTGTGTGTGTGTGTGAAAAGTGTATATAAATATAAATAAATATATATATGTATAATTATTTATATATTATATGGGCATTACTTATTAGAAAGCGCTCAATATCAGAGATAGAGCAACCAAATATATATATATATATATATATATATATATATATATATATATATTTAAATCTAATATTCTCTATATATAAATATATACATATATAGAATTGTGATTTAAAGATATATATATATATATATATATATATATATATACATATATTTTTATATCACATATGATTAAAAATCTAATACACACACACACACACAAACACATATATATGTGTGTGTGTGTGTAGATATAGATATAGACATATAAGCGAATGAGATGGTTGTTTTCGAGACATGCTAACTTCTTCATGGAATGCCTTGATGCAAACACAATTCTTATTCGTTGCCAAAGAATATGCAATTCCCTGATCTGTTCTTATAGGAATGTTGGATTCATGCTTTTCTAAAGGGCATAAGTACATGGGAAACACAAATTCTAAGCTGAATTTGAACTACGATCACCGAATTTCATTTTCGCTTTTCTTAACTGTTAGGCCACCTTCACACCATCACACCTCCACGTGCACAGGCATAAATAAATATGGCCGCTTTGCCACGAAGACGTAGAGAAATGCTAATGTAACAGAAACATGCAATGTGGAAGTGTGTGTTGTCCTCACTGGGTGCGCTCATATTTTCACTTTGTCCCAGGCTAAACTAAAATTTGTAAATAATATACAAATAAATATATCATATTGCAGGTATACCTATACACGCACACACGCATATACACGCATACATACATATATACATGCACAAAATAGATAAATCGATATGCACAATCTGCGACATATAGATAGATATGCAGAAACTTAGATAGATAGATAGATAGATAGATAGATAGATATGAACAGGCAGAGATAGATAGATAGATAGATAGATAGATAGATAGATATGACAAGTATGGGAAAAGTAGATAGATAGATAGATAGATAGATAGATAGATAGATAGATAGATATGTAAAGTATGAGAAAAATAGATAGATAGATAGATAACAAAAGTAAGACAAAAATAGATAGATAGATAGATAGATAGATAGATAGATAGATAGATAGATATGACAAGTATGAGAAAAGTAGATAGACAGATAGATAGATAGATAGATAACAAAAGTCTGACGGTCACCATGTTGATTTCTATGCTAATAATGGTTATATATCTCTTAAAATATATGTTTATTCGTTTCTGAGGATGAACGAGGAGGATGCCTGTATGTGTGTGTGTGTGTGTGTGTGTGTGTGTGTGTGTGTGTGTGTGTGCGCGCGCGCACTCGCGTGTGTGTGTTTATGTGTGGTACTCAACAACATGCACGGAAAGATAAATGTCTGAACTTCAGCCACGTGCGCACGAGCGTTTTTGTGCCAGTGTTTTTCTGCGTGTGTGCATGCGCGTACTGGTGCGTGTGTGTGTGCGTGCGCTTTATGGTAGGGGGGAGGGGTAAAATACGTTCGTTGCCATCTACAAAGTTAGGGCGTCAATTTTCCAAGCGTCCCTTAGATGTGACACAATGCCGAAAGTATGGGGCATCCTGTGAAGATCGAACTCACTACTCAGTCGTTATTTTTCAAGCGAGAGAAGCCTACTAACCATCACAAAACGTCGAGGTTCCACAATAAAAAGTAAAGATTATATTCTTTCAAATCACCAAATTACTTATTTCATGTGGTTGAATTTGAGAACTACCAAACTGCAATTATCTCACAAAGAATTTTAAATAAATTCCTTGGATATTCATCGATAAATAAAAGCAAATTCCATTTTCTTCACCTAATTTCGCCTCATTAAATCATCAGATCAATTAACTATTTATTTAAATTTTGATATTTACGAAGTTTATCCCAATTGTAAAGAGGGCTTTGTCAGAGCAGGACACCGGCGTATTACTTAGCAATACTAACCAGGCCGTTATATATCTACAACAAATGTCCATTATTAGTCAGTTCTATATTAGTACACTATTAAATATAATGTTTTCGTTAACGATTATTACTTATATTTTTATGTAATATTCAAGATAAATAATTTTATTCGATTTCGATGAAATATGACAATTACAAATGATAATAATAATAATAATATTAAAACTGAAGAAATATTAAAAGAGCATCTAAAATAATTTTAAGATTAGATTATTTTACGAAAGAAAAAGGTTGGGTGTTAAGTAGTATCTTTCGATTACGGTGAGAAAAAAATATTATATATATATAAAGATATTGTAGTTAAACAAATGTTGCTTACTGTTAGATAGATAGATAGATAGATAGATAGATAGATAGATAGATAGATAGATAGATAGATAGATGATATGACAAGTATGAGAAAAGTAGATAGATAGATAGATAGATAGATAGATAGATAGATAGATAGATAGATATGTAAAGTATGACAAAAATAGATAGATAGATAGATAACAAAAGGATGACAAAAATAGATAGATAGATACTGACATAGATATGTAAAGTATGACAAAATAGATAGATAGATAGATAGATAGATAGATAACAAAAGTATGACAAAAATAGATAGATACTGACATAGATAGATATGTAAAGTATGACAAAAATAGATAGATAGATAGATAGATAGATAGATAGATAGATAGATACTGACATAGATAGATATCTATATTCTGAGAAAAACAGATAGATAGATAGATAGATAGATAGATAGATAGATAGATAGATAGATATCTATATTCTGAGAAAGGCAGATAGATAGATAGGCATCACAGATGTTACAAAAAAAAAACGCAAATTTACTTAAGCATTAATTTCCTGTCTAGCTGCAGTATCTTTCCATATTAGCGTTTAGATTGCTTTTGGCCAACAAATATCTGTTGGAAGGGCAAACATTCAACCATTTTAACTAACAAGTTTAATATCTGTTACGTTCTTACATACATACATACATACATACATACGTGTGTGTGTATGTTTTTGTGTGAATGTCGCGCGCCTGCGCATGCGTGTGTGTGTAAACAAACAGTTAAGCTGACAAATGTTGCGGGCACATATTTCGACAAAATAAAACTTTATGACCGCCCAGGAGAGTAAGAAAGTGTGACTGAAATGGGATGAATCAGAGATAGAAAAATAGACAAAAAATGATAGACACGTAGACAGACAGATATGAACACACCGAAATAGATAGATAGATAGATAGATAGATAGATAGATAGATAGATGCAGTTATATATGTGTATATAGGTATATAATTAGATAGACAGAGAGAGAGAGAAGGGGGAAAGAGAGAGAGAGATGAAGAGACAGAGAAATAAGAGACATTGAGATAGATAGATAGATAGATAGATGCGGGTAGACTGAGATAGATAGATAGATAGATAGATAGATAGATAGATAGATAGATAGATAGATAGATGACAAAAGTCTGACGGTCACCATGTTGATTTCTATGGAAATACTGTGTATATATATATATATATATGTTTATGCGTTTATAATGAACGAGGAGGCTGCCCGTGTGTGTGTGTGTGTGTGTGTGTGTGTGTGTGTGTGTGTGTGTGTGTGTGTGTGTATACACAAATAGATAGATATGAGCACACTGAGAATAGATAGATAGATAGATAGATAGGTAGATAGATAGATAGATAGATAGATAGATAGATAGATAGATAGATAGATAGATGTGAATGCATTAGTGACTTTTTCGTTAGGCCGCTTACACAAAATTCTACAAAGGACCTATTTTGATTGCCACGTCGGCCCTGTGTGAGAGTCTGAGATAATGTATGACAGGTTAATTTTAGGGACTTACTTACCAATTCGTCTCGTCTGTTTCGCTCCATAAACAATCCAGAAAATTGAAATGACGGTGACTATCAAGAGTCGGCCGTGGATAACACTGGCACGAGTCATGGGTATTGTAGAAAATGCCAACTAAATTTCTTCTTTTTCGTTGTCGTTATTGCTGTTTTTTTCTTCTTCTCCTTCTTCTCTTTTTTCACGTGCCTCTCGGCGCAACGAACCATCAGGAAATCCACCGAATAGTCAAAAGATAAGGTAAACACAACAACATGCTTTAGCCCGTCCTCATGAGTTCTTTTGTTTCATCTAGGGAGGGGGAGAGAGAGAGAGGGGGAGAGAGAGAGAGAGAGAAAGAAAGATTAAAAGAGTGAGAGAGTGAGAGAGAGAGGACTGTGAGATTGTTTGTGTGTGTGTGTGTGTGTGAGTGTGTATGAAAACGCCTGTGTATTTTGAGAAAAAGTTCCAAAGGAAGCGGAAGGTATATTTTCTTTGCTGTTTTGTGGTTTGTTTTTCTTTCTTTCTTTCTTTCTTTCTTTCTTTCTTTCTTTCTTTCTTTCTTTATTTATTTATTTCTCGTTTATGGTCAAGAAAACACCTTTTTTTTAGATATAATTTTATTTGGACACTTCTCAGTAATACGGGTGATAGATAGATAGATGCAGTTATATATGTGTATTGAGGTATAATTAGATAGATAGATAGATAGATAGATAGATAGATAGATAGATAGATAGATAGATAGATAAATGCAGTTATATATATATATATGTATATGTGTAGATAGATAGATAGATAGATAGATAGATAGATAGATAGATAGATAGATGCAGTTATATATGTGTATATTTGTATATATGTATATAATTAGATAGGAACTGCGATAGATAGATAGATAGATAGATAGATAGATAGATAGATAGATAGATAGATAGATAGATAGATGCATTATATGTGTATATATGTATATAATTAGATAGGAACTACGATAGATAGATAGATAGATAGATAGATAGATAGATAGATAGATAGATAGATAGATGCAGTTATATATGTTTATATGTGTATATATGTATATAATTAGAGAGGAACAACGATAGATAGATAGATAGATAGATAGATAGATAGATAGATAGATAGATAGATAGATAGATAGATAGATAGATAGATGCAGTTGTGTATGTGTATATCTGTATATATGTATGTAATTAGTTAGGAACTACGATAGATAGATAGATAGATAGATAGATAGATAGATAGATAGATAGATAGATAGATGCAGTTGTGTATGTGTATATCTGTATATATGTATGTAATTAGTTAGGAACTACGATAGATAGATAGATAGATAGATAGATAGATAGATAGATAGATAGATAGATAGATAGATATCGCCTGTTCATTTCTTTTTTTAATTTCTTGTTAGCTGTTCTTTTTTTCCTTTTTTTTTCTGAGATTTGTAAAATTCGTAAATATTTCTCAACTTTGTTCTTTCTCAACGTTCGCATTGATGAGGAGATTCCATGTTATTTCCCGGTACGACCCGTGAATTTAGTCCTCCATCTTTTTCCGCCTTCTTCTTACAAGGCTTCACTTATGTCCACACACACACACACACACACACACACACACACACACACACACACACACACATCTTATTTGCTGTATCCCAACAGCACTTCGGTCTGCGCTGAATAGGGCGCGGACACACAGACACATACACGCACGAGCAAATTCTTCATTCAAACTACACGCTATGATTAAGGACATTAACAAAACTTCGAATAAACATATTAACTGCTATATTCTTTTGTAAATAAATGTGTCAACGAATATTTATACTGATAAATATTTATAACTTCTTAAATGTCATAAACTTTTTCTCTGTGTAAGATATGCGTAGTAGTTTTGCAACAAATACATATGCAATTTTACAAATTTACATAGAGAAGCACATGCATTTCAAATGCGTGTGTGTATTTGGTGGATCAAAGCGGCAAGTTTTCATTGTACACCCATATATATATATATATATATATATATATATATATATATATATATATATATATATATATATACAAGTATGGCTTTGGTGTAGACGGAATAAATTCCAATAGGCAAAAATAATATTCTTGAAAAGAGTGCTCGATACAGAATATAGAAAATATTATTAGTTGAAAAAAATTATAACCTAAACATCACTACAAAAATAGCCATTTTGTTTCAACACTCCTGGTGTTAGATAGATAGATAGATAGATAGATAGATAGATAGATAGATAGATAGATAGATAGATAGATCTTCTTGTTATAATAGATAGATAAATAGATATAATATTCTTAGATAGATATAATAGATAGATAGATAGAATAATTTAAATAGATATATTTTGTTATAATTAGAAATAGATACACACACATAATAGATAGTTAGATATAATATATATTTATATATATTATATATATATATATATATATATATATATATATATATATATATATATAAATATAATAATAATAATAATAATAATGGACTCTCCTGTCGGTTTCGATGTATGAGGATCTGACAGCTTATTGATTCAGTTATGAAAGTATATATATATATATATATATATATATATATATATATATATATATATATATATATATATATATATATATACCTCAAGCAAAACAGGGAATGCCACTGCTACGCAGGGGGGTTACAGAGAAGCAGAGGGGGGTTAGTACTGAGAAAAGGATAAAAGATGAACAGGGTCAAGAAGATAGAAGATGGCGATTGACGTTGCATTTAAATTTTTGAAGATTGTATATCAGAGAAGGAGGAAACGGAAGGAGTTCTACAGGGGGGAAGTATGAGTAAATAAGCTGTTGGAGTAGAAATGGCAGGAAGACATTTAACTAATTCAACAGTAAGAAAATGGGACGGACAAAGACATAGTGAACTAGACTCGGGGTCCGTTAGTACAGTTGGTATGACGTTTGCCTCTCAATATAGCTGTTCGGGTTTCAATTCTCGGTAGTGGATGCGCAATGCTGGTGAGTCCCAGATATAGGACGAAACGGCCGTCCAGTGCATTTTGTTGAGGTTTCTTCTAGACTCGATGAATTACTATTTATTTTATTTTTTTTTTTATATATATATATATATATATATATATATATATATATATATATATATATATATATATATTGGATATATATATATATATATATATATTTATGGGTAAAAAAAAGTGGTTTACCTCTTTGTCCACTTTTATATTTGTATTCATATATATATATATATATATTGATAGATAGATTTAAACAGACAGATAGATAGATATATATTATAAAAATATTTTTTACGGTATGTATACAATGTAACGTATTTGAGACAAAGTCAAAATAAGATAGCCAACCCCAGAAAAGAAAAAAGAAAATTCTAGATAGACAAAAAATGAAGATAAATAAATTAAGTGAATAATAATCAAATTAGAAAACTGCGGTTACACACCTAAATAATAGATGATTAATAATCAATAACAAATAATTAATGAATAGATAGAAAATGCCATAAGTAATCAATAATGAGTGAAATGTTAACAAACACATCTATGCAATGGCTACGAAATAAGCACCTTTGGATGAACAATTGTTATTACTCAATCACCACGAGAAAGATCTGAAATATAACCTTTACCACCAATCTAGTAACTATTAGGATAATGCAATATACCTTGCTAGCCATAATGCACTATTGAACAGGGTCTGAAGATATTCAAGTTAAAACACAAAACACACGCTCTGAAGATGGCGTTCAAACATAAAATACGCTGTCATCGGTGTTGAATACACACACACACACACACATACACACATATATATATATATATATATATATATATATATATATATATATATATATATATTATATATATATATATATATATTATGAAATGGACAAAGTCCGACAATTATTTTAAGACATTTTTATGTTTATACATTCTTTTTATAGATAAAAATATTTAAGTAAATGCTCTGTTTTATAATAAACAATATTAAACAACATTTACCGGAGGACGAATATTTTCTATGAAAATTTCTCGGACATTCAGGCCGTAAAATGTTATTATATATATATATATATATATATATATATATATATATATATATATATATATATATAAATATAGTTCGAGGATATATAAATATATATATATATATATATCGACATATATATATATATATATATATATATATATATATATATGAGAGAAAAGAACAGATGGAGTAAAAATCCACTGTTCGTAGCATTCCCTTTAAAAAAAAAAGTCCTCAATACAAAGTACAGGAAAATATTATTATTATTTTTTATTATAAAATGATTATCATAAAAACATTTTGAAATCGCTACGCAAAAGTTTCATGTTTCAATTCTATGATTGTATTACTTCAAGCGATGGTATCATAGTATTGAAACGTAAAAGCTTTTGTTTAGCGATTTCAAAATGTTTTTATTTATAATAAAAATATATATATATAAATATATATATATATATATATATATATATATATATATATATATATATATGGACGAAGTTTGTCTGAAAAGTAACGGGATTGGTTCACAAACACTTTATTTCAATTGCAAACACCATGCTTTTCCGTTCAAAATCATCTAATGCAGTTTACCATTCTCCTCTGCTACATTTCTGTGCACTGCTGGAAGGATTCTTCCTGAATGACCTTTCAGCTCCGTCGTAAAGGCCGGTTTGTTAGGTCTTCAAAACGGTTCCCCTTGATGATGCCCTTGACTTTGATTAAAAGAAGAAAGTCACACGGAGCAAGATCAGGTGAATATGTCTTCTCACGCACTGAGCGGAGCAAACTCTACAGGAACTCTTTTCCACACTTGCAATGGCCCTGTCGTTAGAATTCATGATGGACGACGCCTCTCACATTGAACAAGAAGACCAGTCCCGTTACTTTTCTGACAAGTATGTTGGAAATAAATATGCATATATAAATTAGGGACTATATAAAAAAAATTCCTTATATATAATGTAAGTTATGCAAATATATTTGTTAGATGTGGATAGTTTTATTTGTGTTCTCGTGCGATAATTTTTTTTTTCCTTTGTAGGAGAAGGGAGAGATACATGTAAATGTTTAAAATTTTATTCTAACTGCTAATAAATCTTATTAACAATAAATCTGTCATCTTTTTTGTCTTGCTTTCAGTACTGATCATTTAAAAGAATTTTGTCCCAATCAGATTGTCGCGGGAAATTAATTGACAACAGTTTTTACACGCACTCCAGCCGTTTTTTGTTTTTGTTTTTTGTTTTGTTGTTATTGTTTTGTTTTGTTTTTGTATTTTTTTTTGTTTTTTGTTTTTATTTTTTCTTGCTTATATCAAAAACACTACCTTACAGGTCCTTTTTCTTCCAAGTTCTCCAGGTATTATGGGCTCAACTAATACACTAATAATGACTGGAATAAATTGACAAGTCCCCCCTCCAAAACACATGAGCTATTTTCTTCCTCCTCCGCGGCATTATTAATATTATGACTCATTAAGTTTTTTTCACACAAGTAGTACATGAGCAACTGGCGGTTTCTACTCGAGGTCATGTGACAGCAAGTTTCTTCAGAATTAGCCTGATCGATTTCTATCATTATGATTTCTCTCTTTTTTTTTTTTTTTCTTTCTTTCACTTTACACACACAGTTTTTCTTCCGTGTGCCGTGTCCCTTTAGGACGTGGAAAATCATGGCACTCCACAATTTCCTGCAATTTCTATCACTTAGTAATTTTTAACTTTTACTCTTCCCTGCTGTTCTACCAACCTTTGACGCAAGCACATTACGTAGGTTATTCGCTGCTTTCCTCTGTTGCCTTCAATGTCCTGTGAGTGTTAGATTCGCCATACTCACTTTTCTTATTATGTGCCAGAGAAATATCAACTCAAAAAAGACGGCCACGTACACAAAATCTAACACAGTCTACTCATATCTATCTATCTATCTATATATATATCTATCTATCTATCTATCTATCTATCCCAATCTGTTCATATATATCTAAGTCTATTCATATCTATCTATATCAGTCTGCTGCTATCTATCTATCTATCTATCTATCATCTATCTATCTATCCCAGTCTGTTCCTATATATCTAAATCTCATATCTATCTATCTATCTATCTATCTATCTATCTATCTATCTATCTATCTATCTATCCCAATCTATATATATCTAAATCTATTCATATCTATCTATATCATATCTGTCTATCTATCTATCTATCTATCTATCTATCTATCTATCTATCTATCTATCTATCTATCCCAATCTGTTCATATATATCTATCTAAATATCTATTCATCATATCTATCTATATCAGTCTGTCTATCTATCTATCTATCTATCTATCTATCTATCTATCTATCTATCCCAATCTGTTCATATATATCTAAATCTATTCATATCTATCTATATCAGTCTGCTCATATCTATCTATCTATCTATCTATCTATCTATCTATCTATCTATCTATCTATCTATAACTGCCTGTTCATATCTATCTATCTATCAATCTATCTATCACATGACGATGATGATGATATGATGGTGATCCTATCTATCTATGTATCTATCTATTTATGGCGATGATGATGATAATGATCGTATCTCTCATCTATCAAGCGATAAATCGATCTACACCTGTTCATATTTATCTCTGGCTGTTCATCTGTATCAATCTATCGTTTTATCTAAATGTTTTTTTTTGGCCTTTTCTACCCCCTCTATTTCCCTCTCTCACTGTCTTTCTCTGCATATCTCTTTCTTTCTCACTCTCTCTTTCTCTCTCTCTCTCTCTCTATATATATATATATATATCTGTCTGTATTTTTCTCTGTCTCTGTCTCTCTTTCACACCCTCTCTCTTAGACTGTTAATGATTCTTTTTTTTTTTTTGTTTGACTATGCATGTCATTTATCTGCTTGTTTCATTACTGACGCACACCACGCAGACACACACGCACACACAAACACGAGCGGACCCATATGTCGTCTGCACATATATACCTGTGTATCTATCTCTAATTATTTTTTATCGTATTCTCTCCTTTAGATCTTTCAGCTTCTCTTTTCTTTGTACATTTTACATTTCATTTCCTTCATCTTTTCTTTCCTATTTTCTTCTTTTTTTTTAAAGTTCTTTCTTTCTTTCTTTCTTTCTTTCTTTCTTTCTTTCTTTAGCACACTTTCTTCTTTTTCTTTTTCCTTTTTCTAATTAAATTCTTTCTTTATCACACTTTCTTCCTCTTTTTCTTTTTATTAATCAATTTTTTCTTTATTTATATAACTTTCTTCCTCACTTTCTTTTCTTCTTTCTTTTTCTCATTTTTTTCCTCTCTTTCTCTCCATGTCATCCTCTTTCTCTCACATTGTCATTTCTCTTCATCTGTATTGTTTTCGTCTTACACTCTCTTTCCCCAAATATTCTTTCCTCCTTTAAACTTTTTTTTCATTCCTTCATTCCTTCACACCCGCAATCCACTCGAGTAGATATGTGGGCGTCACGAAGCGCAAATGAAACTCGATGAAAGGTATTCTCTTTCGGACATAGTAAAGCCACTTCATATTTTGGTTTCTTTGCTTGATGTTTTCCCGCCCCACGTGACTAAAGACGACACCAAAAGATGATCACGTTCATTTCAACAGACTCATCCGAAACCATAATTTTTTCTCGGAGTTTTCCTCTGTTTGTTCAGTAAAACGGATCGCTTATTTAACCGCCTTACTGCTTGTTGACCAATACTTCTTCTTCTTCTTCTTTTAATTCTTCCTCTGCTTCCTCTTCTTCATCTTCTTCTTTTCCTTCTTCTTCCTCTTCTTCTTCTTCTTCTTTTTCTTTTTCCTCTTCTTCTTCTTCTTCTTTCTTCTTCTTCTTCTTTTCTTTCTTCTTTTCTTTTTCTTCTTCTTCTTTTTCTTCTTCTTCTTTCTTTCTTCTTCTTCTTCTTCCTTTTCTTCTTCTTCTTCTTCTTCTTCTTCTTCTTCTTTTCTCCTTCCTCTTCTTCTTCTTCTTCTTTTCTTCTTCTTTTCCTTTTCTTCTTCTTCTTCTTCTTCTTCTTCTTCTTTTCTTCTTCTTTTCTTCTTCTTCTTTCTTCTTCTTCTTCTTCTTCTTCTTCTTCTTCTTCTTCTTCTTCTTCTTCTTCTTCTTCTTCTATTCCTCTTCATCTTCTTCTTCTTTTCCTTCTTTTCCTTCTTCTGCTTCCTCTTATTCTTCTTCTTCTCCTGCTTCTGCTTCTTTTTCTTTTTCTTCTTCTTCTTTTAATTCTTCCTCTGCTTCCTCTCCTCTTCATTTCTTCTTCTTCTTCTTCTTCTTCTTCTTCTTCTTCTTCCTCTTCTTCTTCTTCTTTTTCTTTTTCTTCTTCTTCTTTTCCTTTTTCTTCTGCTTCCTCCTCTTCTTCTTCTTCTTCATGTGCCGTATCCACTCATAACGTACGTGATCATGGATCTCCACAATTTCTTCTCCTTTGAAGTTCACAGTTGAGTTTATGTGACTTTCTGATCTCGACTAAGGTCGAATAAAATATGCGTCAACACCATGAAGCGTGCTACTAGATTGCCAATCAGTTCTCGCCGTTTTACTGACGAACTCGCGAGATACAATCTCTACTAATTATCACTAATAATAAGTCAAACTAGTAAGCTTGATAATAACTGCTGAAGCAGTCAAAAGTGAATATGAATAAAACAAATTGATAGATACAATAAAAGAATTGCTGATGGTTAATTCTGAGATAAAACAACTTAATCGGATGTAAGATATGCTAAAGAAAAAAAAATGAACATAACTTGTCGGCATTTTTCAATAAACCTTGTTTTAAATAATTCTTGCTGAATAAATACATATATGTATATATATGAAAAAAATAAGGGAAGCCTTATTAATAAAAACAAACAAACCAACATTTAATAATATTAACTTTGAACATGGATATAATATCTTGACCGTGTTTTGAAAAATAAAAACATTTTATAAAACATACATACAATATATATACATTTCATCTTTTAACAGTTAAAATATAATCCTTGAAAATCGCTAAATGTATAGCCGAAAGCGCTCGGATAAAAAAAAAAACATTCGGACAGTTTTTATATAATTTATCATACAAAAAAAAAACGTTTTTGTTATTAGATCGCATGAGAAATTGTATAAAAAAAGATAAAAGCACCTTTGCATGTAGTTTTTTTCAATGAAATGCGCATGAAAGAAGGATTGCTACCTAAATACACACACACAGACACACACAGACACACACACACACACACACATATATATATATATATATATATATATATATATATATATATATATATATAAACACACACACAAACACACACACACACACACACACACATATATATATATATATATATATATATATATAGATAGATAGATATATATATATGATACGATAAAGAGCAAATAGGATACGTTTATCAATCTAAGATGTGTCACTTTTATTGAAACTTCATTAGAGATTGAGATATGGAGAGAAAGAAGAAAGAAATTCTGGTATTTTTACGTGTGCGATTTCCATTTGGTTAATTATGTTTCACGTGTATTCGACTTGTTAAACAATCGTTAGTATAATTTGCGTCGTTCCAAATTCACGTAAAGACGGCACGTCCATTCAAAGTTTCATGAAATCAACAGAGTCCAAGCCTAACTAAAAAAAAAAAAACGTAATTATTGCTTTAAGTCCGTAAGTATACAAGGTGCGGCTGGTATTTGAAGACAGATTTTATGGATTAGTAAAAAACTTGCTGAACAAATGAATATAATTATATTTGATTACAAACATGTAAACATGAAATTTAACTAACTATTATTTAATTTTATTCAATAAAACCACGACTAGCATCAATAACTGCCTCTACACGAGGTCGAAATCGGCTGAAAGCGCTGATTAATTGGTCCTTATTTATGTCAGGCATTACTCGATCTATTGCAGCTTTAAGAGAGTCTTTGGTGTTATGAGGCTGTTTATTAACCTCCTTCTCAACAACGCTCCACACATAATAGTCTAGTGGATTGAGATCTGGAGAGTTAGGGGGCCAAATGTTGGATGTGATGTAGTCGTACAAATCGTCAGTCATCCATTCTTGTGTTCGTAGAGCCTTGTGGGATGGAGCTAAGTATTGCTGGAATATATAAGGCCTGCCATTGCATATGTTGTCAATCCAGGGCTTGACAACTGTTTCTAGAACCTCAATGTAAGCAGCAGCATTTACTCTAAGAACCTTGCGGAAAAAAGTGGGGTGGCATAACATGTCCTTCATTGCTAACAACACCCAATGCCATAACACTTGAAGGAAATTTTGTGTGCATTACTCTTGGCACCTCAGAAAGATCTGAACAATGCTATCTGTCATTTCTTCTGTTAAGTTTTTGATCTTGATCAAAATGTTTCACATCTGAGAAAAACAAAACAAATCACACCAGCTCCTGAAGGATTTTTAAATTGTTTAAAAGCCTTTTGAATCTGTTTAAACGGTTTTCTTTTGTTTTGTTTTTTTTTTTTTTTTCAGACATAAATTGACCTCTCTTCATCATGTAGGACTTGTATCGAACACTCCTTCTGATACTTTTTTTTTCCAGACACATGCAGCTTTTTGGCAATTGACCTCATTGATTGACCTCGGTTTTCATCAATTGTCTGCTTGACTTCCTGAATAAATTCGGATATTCTCACTTTATCAGAACGTGTAGAATGTCTTTTACGTTTTGATAAAGACATTGGGGAATGTCATAAAACTTCTAACTCTTTTTGTATCTTGTGGACAAACGATCTTGCAACTCTGAGGCATCGTGCAATATCCAAATCGCTATGATCAGCCATTAATGCCACAATCACAGCATGCCTTTTCATTTCATTTGTTATCATAGGGTTTGCCATTCTTGATTTTTGAAAAATAAAAGCATTAGAAGTTAGTGGGAAGCAATATTAATCTTACATCTGTATGTCCTCAAATACCAGCCGCACTCTGTATAATAATTCTAGTTTATGGCAGTCAGATGATAATGTATATTCTTAAGTCTACGTGTGCGTCTACTACACATTAGATATTAGTACAAATTAGATACATACCGTTTATTTTAGATAAACAGACGTTAGATTCTTTAAGAATGGTTTCAGTAAATTTCGTGATGTAATATATATTTAATATATATGTAATATATGACGTGTGCTTATAACTAGCAATATAGTTATTGGTAATCCCACGAAGAGCAAACAAAGTGTTTTATAGGAATAAAGTGTCGCTGCCGACACTTGAGTTTGAACATAGATCGCCAGGGAACAAACACAGGCGATCCCATTATTGAATTAAAGTAGACCACGTGACCATAGAGGAAACGCATATATATAGGAAGTAGCTGACGACTAACGATCTCTATTTCTAGTCTATCCTCTATTACTATTCGGATCGTTATTTCTAGTTTATCCTCTATTACTATACAGACCGCTATTCTCTGCTCTATTCACTATTTTCTCTATGGTAGAGTAATGGATATCGGCTCGGATTGAAGAATCGGAGAGCCGAGTTCGAATTCCATTCGAATCCATAATATTCACTTATGTGCTATACCCTTAGGAAAGGTATAAATCCTTTTTTTCTATCCCCAGCTATGGGTAAATAGCAGGACAGACTGATCTGCCGCAGAAAGAAATCGCCAACTAATGCGATAAAAAAATGCAGCTATCGACGGTTCCCCAAGTGTTCTGTCTACCCAATTTCACTCACAAGGTCAACCCCTGGTATGGTTTTCAGACACTTTCCAAAGATTCCGCACGTTGTGATCGCTCCTCTCCAAACCGATAACATCAGGAAGTCTCCTTCCTGACAAATCAACCGGGGTGAGATTCGAACCCGGGTCTCATGGTCAGTATTTAAATTACATATGTTGGTTTGACGACCACAGCATTATCAAGACGTCTCACACCTCATTTATTGGATACAACTTATATTGCCCAACATCTAAAAACACATTCCTATTCACTACACAATAGAAAAAATTACTCTTTAACATCACCAATATACTACACCACAAAAAAATAAACAAAAACTACAAATTCTCGAGGCCCTCTCTAACAAAATCAACCAACCAACATATTTATCACTAATGTATGTACATGTAACATTTAATGGCATTTTTCATTCCTACCAATTTCCGGTCAGCTCCATTATATTGAAATGTTTGTTTTGCAAAACATTCCA